ACCTTCATCTTTAATACAGACAAATGTATAGGGTCCTGTGAAGGACTTGGGAATACCTGATCCAACCTAGGACGAGAGTGACTCATCTCTAAACCATGAGTAGGAGTTGTCACAATGGATGGAGAGAAGAATACCCCACATAGACACAAAGCAAGAGAACAGGAGTGTTCTGGATGCATGGCCCCAGCCCTCATGCCCGAGTCACAGTAGGTATTAAATGACAAGTTCTGAGGGTTATGATCACAAAGGGTTTAGTGTGTCATCCTATGTGAGACGTTGAAAGGTCATGTTGCTCCGGAAACAGCAGGAGGCAAGAAACACTTCAGAAACCAGGACTGTCCCTCCTGTGTGGAGACAGACACCTATTTCACAGAAGCAGCTTGCTTTTTAAGTTTTTTCTCAAAACTCCAGAAAGCAAACGAGGAAAGGAAAATGCATTTCCTGAGGAAGTATTCCAACTGTCCTAGAATGTTTGGCCTCTGAACCCACTGGAGCATAGACAGAAACATCCCCAGGGACGAACACTACAGAAACCTCGGCAGCTGCCTTACTCAGCCTGCCTCAGACGGTTGGTCTTTCTGCTTTTCTCCAATCTTCAAGGAAACCTCAGCCATGTGCTTTGTTCAAGATCCTTGGAACAGTGGGTTTCTCCCTGCTCCTCTGTTTCCAGTCAGTTCTCTGGGCTTTCCAAGTCAGCAATGTCTGATAATTGCTCTAAACCCAGGAAGGGTTCGTTAGCAATCAAGTAGCCAGCAGAAGTTATGTCCAAATGAGAGGGAAACACACTGGGAGTTGGAGGGGGGCAGAGTGGGGGACAGAGCTGTTCTCAGTGCAGGTTCTACATTTGATTTTGTTCCAACAAGATAGTTACATGGCACATCTCACCAGGGAGACGTAACAATGTGACTCGAGAGAAACTCGGGATGAATCCCAGGGAAGCAGTAAGCTTGTTCATTTGAACAGACCATGATGGTGTATTGTCAGCAACAAGTGGCTCGGACCTCAGGGGGTAGGTTTCCGGAGAGGGTGGGCAGACCATGGTGGTGTATTGTCAGCAGCAAGTGGCTCCACCCTGGGGGGGGGTTCCAAAGACGGTGTGTTTATGTTGCCAGGAGAAGCCAGCAGGTTCTTTCTTCAGAAGGCACAGGCAGGCCAATCAGTGCAGGCGCCCAGGGGGAAGTGTGCAGGGTTTCCCAGAAATGGAGAAAGGGTACTGCTGCACTCCAGGATCTGTTGTGGGGCTCACCTGCCGAGCCCTAGAGACCTGGCGGCCTCTTGTTACCCGAGCATGCAAGGGAGGTTTGCCATGGCCCTGCAGCTCTGCCTTGAGCATGCGGCCCCTGTGCTAGACACGGGTGTGCTTGGCCGTGCACCCTCCTTCATGACCCAACGCGGAGAGTGACAAGAGTGCTCAGCACTGTGTTGGGAACAAAGCAAGTGTGGCCCTGTGCAGTCAGAGGGTGACCTGCTCCCCCTCTGCACTCCCGGGGGGCTTTGTTCACTGAGTTTTGTAACCAGCAGAGTCCCTTTGAGGGGCCAAGCAGGACAGTGGCCTTTGGTAGCAAGCAGCACACTACTCTCACAGAGGATGCAACGATGAATCTGTACAGTGAGATAAAGAAACAGCCCGTCCAGGTGGGACACCCTGAGCTCCACGGCCAATAGTTCACTTCACTCGGAAGCAGGAAAGTTCATTTTCCTGTGGCTAGAGCTCAGTATTACGAGAAACATAAGTAATTATTTACACCTTATCCAAAATAAATGTGTCGATACATCTCACAGTGTTTAGAAAAAGCCACTGGCATATCCCTCTTGTTTTCCTCGTATGTCTCTCTCCAGGGCACAGACGCTGGTGGTTAATTTCCTAAGTGAACATGGAGATGGTTTCTTTAGTCAGTTTAAAGTGGGAGAGTTGATGAAACGGTGTGTCAAAACACTCAGGCTGCAGTTCAGCGGATGAGTGTGTCTAAGGAACTTGGGTTTTCTTCACAGGTGCTAGCTGCTCCACTTTTAATATTTGAGTTCTCTCTCTCTCTCCCTCTCTCTCTCTCTCCCTCTCTCTCTCTCTCTCCCTCTCTCTCCCTCTCTCTCTGTCTCTCTCTGTCTCTCTCTGTCTCTCTCTCTCTCTATATATATATATACACATATAGATAGATAGATGGATAGATAGATAGATCTCCTATTTTCTAAGTAAAATAGTTGCCCTTGTTAAATGCTAGCACAATATTTTGCACGATGACCTTCCATCCTAAGGAGGAACTATCATTGAAATGCCTCCCTGTCTATCACATGCCTGGCTTTTCTTTGTTTGCCTCTCGGCTGAGAAAAGGCCATAGACGATCACTCAGCCTCTGCTCTCTGCTGACATAAAGCCAGCTTCTCACCTTCAGATGCTCCAAGCTGGGGTATGGGCCCTGGGTCCTTAGAAGGCCCAGCACCAGACACCTGGCCCTGGCCCTGGCCCTGGCCCCTTGGGGTTGACTGACAAGGCGGTGTGCACAGCAGCTCTTTTGCTGGGCTCTTAGGGAGACACAGGCAGCTAGAATGCAATGCACTATGTGTGACTCAGCTGCTGGAACCCCTCACTCCGTGACTCTTGACCATCCCAATAGGAGCACCTCCCCTCCCCCCCTCCTCCCGTCCCCCCTCTCTCCGCCCCCTCCCCCTCTCCTCTCCTCCTCCCCTCCTTCTCAGCCCACACACTGCTCAGATGTGCCTTTTAGTTCCCGTTTCATGGTCTCTGGCACCAGCTGAGTCCATTAATTGCCACAATCTGGGCAGGTTGTTTTCTGTCCCACAGGATGATAAACACACAGAACAAGACCACTGAAGGCTCGGGGGCGGGGGCGGGGGCGGGGGCGGGGGCGGGGGTGTTGCTGGTGAGCCCCATAGGTACTTTAGGAACTGTAACAGCTGCGCCTCCAGTGGCGGAAGCAGCCAAGTGATTTTTTTTTTTGACATGTTCTTTTTTTTTAACGACTCTGTCGTTGGTGAGCCAGGTCTATAAGGAAATGATAAAAATTTCTCTCTGAAATTTCGAGATTGCCTCCAGCTCTTTGGGCAAGTTAGTTGTATGTGTGTATTTGCCGATATGTTCTTATTGGATAAGAAAAAAAAAGTGTGTGTTCTGCTCCCTGCTTGTGGTTTGGTTTGTGAGCTCCCAGCTGCTCCATTTGCTGTGCCCGTCCGTGGCCACACTTCCCTGCTGTGATGGTAGTGGACTCTTTATCTTTCTGGAATGTAAGCCCAAATGCATATTTTCCGCTATTAAAAAAAATCTACCTTTTTCCAAGTTATGTGTCTTTGTTGAGTTTTGAGTGTGTGTGTATTTGTATCTATGTGTGTATATGTGTGCGTGTCTATGTATATGTGTGTGTCTATGTATATATGTGTGTGTCCTCTCCCACACATATGTATGTGTGTGTGTGTGTGCTTACATGCATGTGTCTCTGTGTGTGTGCTCTCCCACATGTGTGTATGTATGTATGTATGTATGTATGTATGTATGTGTGTGTGTGGATTTGGGGGCCACAGGAGGACTATCACTCTTCACCTTACTCCTTTGGGACAGGGTCTCACAGGAAACCTGGGACGAGGCTGGCAGCCAGCCACCCTCAGTGGCCCTCTTCTCCCCACCCCAACATGGCTGGGGTTACAGCCACACCCTGCTTGTCATGCGGGTCCTCGGGACTTGAACTCAGGTCTTAAAGCTTGCTCAGCAGGTGTTCTCACGATTCTGAGAAAGGCAATAGAGAGAACCGGTTTCTTTGCATGTGCTTGGTGGGGTTTTTAATCAAGGTGCTGCGTGCAAGTGTTTGTTTTCTTTATCGCCCGCTGTTCGTCTTGCCTTCAGAGTCTCTGGTCTCTGCTGATTTGAACTGCTGTTCCTTTGGCCCCAGCCTCTCCTGACGTCAGGCAGGAGCCCCAGCTTGAGGCGATTAGGTTAGACATTGCTACTTCCCCGGGCTTTGGCCTTGTTCCGATGATAATTCGACAGTCCGTGGCGGTTAACATTTTCTAGTTTCTGTGAAGCACTTCTAGGCAACTGTCTGGTTTCCATTTGGAAGATGGTTCTTAGAAATTTCCTCATCCTACCTGAGAGAAATTACGCAATTTCCCCACTCGTTTGCAGGCTTTTAGTGTGAGATGCCACTAGCCACAAGCCACATCTTCACAGAGGCCACCACCTGGAAGGGGCTGTCAGCATCTGTTAGTCCTCCAGTCGTCCATGCCTTTGATTAACTTGACGGCGTCACCACCCGCTCACAGGGTCTCGGCTGCCTGGCCCCACTGTCCCTCAACACCAGCGGGTCAGGTCAGGGGCTCTAACAGCTCCTCTCTTCACCATTGTTCAGTCTCCTCATCCTACAGCCTATCCCTCATCACTCAAGTGGGCCATAGAGTCCCCCCACTTGGTACTCAACATTTGTTCTCTCCTCTGTAGATCTGTCTCTAGACCTGTCTTCCATCGTAAGACATTTATGGACTTACACTTAACTAATGTTAGGAAACCTACGGACTCTCTCAGAAACCGGGAAGCCGTGTGGCATCCTTGGGCCTCCAGATGTGCACGCGGCTCTAGTTTTAGGCTCTGGTCTCCCCCGCAGCCACTTTCCCGCCCGTCTTCCTGCCTCAGCTCTGCTGTCCCTCTCACTGCAGCCCGCCTGTGGCTCTGCCCACCCCACCCCGGTGTGTGGTCCCTGCAGAGGGTGGCTTCCAAGTCATCTTTGCTCATCAGTCCCTTCAGACCCAGCTCAGTGAGCCCCACCCCACGTGGTCTCCCCATGAGAGACAGCAGTTCCTCCACAATCCCAGGCTCTGAGTCTTAGCAATAGTAACAGTATAATAATTGGTAGCACAATGCACTCCGTGTCACTTGATACGCTCTGTAGACATATGGCAAGTATGAAATATTACTGTCTGGTTAATTGATTTCTATGTATTTAAATACACATAGTATGTGGGGGAGGGGACGATGGTGAAGATGTGTATAACTGCCTATCAGTCCAGATCCAGAAACTACAGACTGGAGAGAGGAGTTTATTTGGGTCTTGCTGTTGAGGGATGCAGACTCAGATAGCTTTGAGCTAAAGGCCCTAAGATGACTGACAGCAGGAACTTTGTGTGGTCACTGGGTACTGAGAAAGCGCAGGGGCTACACGAAGGACAGAAAATACAGAAAGTCTAAACAGACCGCAGATGTCCACAGAGCAAGGGCCCATCTGTGTCCTCCACTGCGGATGTCAGCGCTCAGCAATGCGGGGCCCAGAGCTCACTGTCTAGGCAGCAGAAGATGCGTGTGAGTCCTGCCTGGTAATGACCTCCGGGCTTCAATTTGGAATCTCTTTCAATGTTACTTTTCCCTGAAAAAAAATCTTTTATTTTTCTCAAGTATTGAAAAAATCCAGGGAATACATAGCTCAGTTGGCAGAGTGGCTGCCTAACTTGAATTCATTTGAGCCCCAGCACCACGTAAACCCTGCAAGAGTCACGGCCCTTTCGTAGCCCTAGAAGTTGGGATGTTTTTTTTAGCCCTCGATGGCAGCCAGTATTACAGCTCTTGGCCCTAAAGACTGGGTTCTTCCTGTAACCAGGGTCTGCCATTCATTTCCTCTTTTCTTTGTAGCTTTGTATCCTCCTTCAGTCTCAACCTCTGCCATCTCCTGCCAACTCTCTCTCCTTCCATCCCCCCTTCACCATCCTGCCCTGGCCAGTCGGCTCTTAAGCTGATCAAATGCTGCTGCTTCAGCTGTCAAGCAGCTGGGTGCCTGGCCATGTTCATAGTTCAGCCTGCCAATGACCCAGCTGTGGCTACCATGGCCTCTGTCCATTCAACTGTGGCTCCTACAGCCTCTGCCTATTCAACCCTGGCTACCACAGCCTCTGTCCACCCAGCCATGGCTACCACAGCCTCTGTCCATTCAACTGTGGCTCCTACAGCCTCTGCCTATTCAACCCTGGCTACCACAGCCTATGTCCACCCAACCATGGCTACCGCTGCCTCTGTCATCACTCTACTGTCTCTGATGCTGCTTTCTTCTTGGGACCACCTCAGCACATAAAGCTGCAAGGAGGAGAGAAGACGCTAATCCTCATCAGGACTACAGAGCAGGGGTGTTTGAACAAATCCTAGCATACTTTCTTGGCACCTAATAACAGCCATGGAAGTTTATGTGTCAATCAGTCACAGTCTTGTTCCTTAAGAGCTGATCCCACAGACCCCACTGCTAGACCACTAGATGAAGATGAGGAATTCCCATTCTGACCAAGTTGTACATGTTTGAGAGGTCACCTAGAGTCTAGTACACACTTTCAAACAACCTCAAATGGGGCTGCACCTTCAGGAGTTGGGACAGTCGGCTGCAATCCTCTCAAAGATTTCTCAGTGTCCATGGAGTGGTCGGAGTAACTGGTGCTGATACAAGGGTATTCTGGCTCTCCTTTGAACTGATTGATAATTCTTTTGCTCATGGCACCCAGGGAAGCCAAACAGAGAGTCCAAGTGCTGCTAACTAGGAGGCAAACTTGCCCCATCCCCAAAATATTTGGTTACTTATGGAGAAATGAACATCAGAACTATTGTTTTCAATGAGAACTTAAAAGTAGAGATTTTAACAGCATTTGAAGGAAAGAATACTCAATATACCTTTCCCAGTATCCCAGGAAGAGGGGGTTTACCCCACTTCTCTCCCCCAAGACTAGTTTGTGGAATGACTGAGTAATTTTAAAGAATTGGAGTTCAAATGTTCAGCCCCAGCCACCGACCGCCCTGGAGAAAGGGAGTAGGGGCAGCTGGAGACAGCGCATCTGTAAACAAGTGAGCAGCAAGATTTGATGAGCTTCTGGGTAACCAAAGATGTGGATGTCCTGGAGGCATGGTGAACCCACAGGTATCACCCGAACTCATTGGCCCCTCACCGTGCCCTGTCCCTCTTCATCTGGCTGTTCATTTCTAGCCACTGTAATATCCTTTATCATATCAGATAAACTAATACTACTGTGAACCATCCTTTCTAAAGTATCCATCCTGGGGAGTGGCATGTCATGTGAACTATGTCTTGTAGTCAGTTGGTGGGTCTAGGGAAATGACAAGCTGCTGTTGTTGATGGTGGGGCAGTCTTGGGAGAATGACAACAAACAGGGTCTAACTCTTAGCTTCAGGTGAACACACAGTTGGTACCCATTGGAGAACCGTTTGGTATGGACAGACCTGCCTATCTGGGAATGCATAGAAATGTTCTGTGCTGTATTTATGTGTAGCTGAAGAACAGCCTGGGTTTTCCCAGTCCCTAGAAGAAGCAATACAGAATTATTTAGGTGTAACTTGGGCTCAGGTCCCCATGTAACCATTCAAAGGAAACTCCATCATCACAGACAGTTTGAAATCTCCTAAAGGGAACATGCACCACACAATCATTTCACAACGTAAAGGGCTTGGAAGGCGGACCCTCAGGAGTCAAGGTCTTTCTTGACTCCTGAGACCATGACGATAGCGTTGATGCATCCAATACGTACTAATTATGAGCACTGTCGAAAGGGACACTGAAAAATGCCCCGTCCATCGTGCTACTGTATTATGATTAGAGTTGATGGGACTCTCCCCAGCCATACCTCCGTCACCGTGGACTCTCAAGTCTTTGTCCTTCTCACTGTGCAAGACTCCCTCTCCCAATGGCCTGCAGACACAGACCTAAGGAAATCAGCCTTGTGTTTTGTTGATTTGACATGCGGCTTTGTGGCAGGAGAGGCGCTTTCCATACCTGTGGCTTGGGGATTGACCAAGCCACATCTCTAAGCAGCAAGCACTTCCATGATTCTTGCTCGTGATGCCAGGCCGTGCCAACTACTCCTCTCTAGACTGGTTTTCCGTTGTCTGCGAAATTCAGGAAAGCCATTCTGAAGCTGTTGGGCGGCTTAGCTTATCTGAAATGACCAGTTACAAACTCAGATTAAGTTAGGGATTTTTTGCAAGCTGTAAATTCTGTATACTGTTGCCCTGGATTGCATCCACCCAGCCTGAGAGAGGGAAAGGAAAGTAAGCAGGAGGGTTTTCTAGATTTCCTTCAAGATTCTCTTTGATTAATTAAACCTTTGTTTAATGAATCTCTGATCTCAAGGTACTTCACGCAGTACTTAAGCTTTGATGTGACGATTTAAACTATAGCCAGTTAACATGTAAGTTCTGTCTTTTCAAAGAACAATATTGTAAGACAGACAATGGACTAAGAAGACATACGTTCCACTTACATTCTGCCAACTCAAAACTCTATCATTGATCAAATCTCTCAGCTTCCATGAAGCAATTAATCCAGTACCCCGAGCACCAGTGATGTTCTTGGTGGTATGGTAGCCTCCGTGTCCCAGAGCCCCAGTATGATCAATATATTCTCATAGATAAGAAGAGGTTTACCGTGGGTGCCTCTGATTGACTGCCAGAAACCTGTGTGGTGACATGTGCCTCCATGGTCATTGTGCCTGCATAGACTGCCATGCCATGGCCTGAGGACACATCTTTGATTCTCTAGGCCCAGTTTTTATTTTATTCAGTTTCTTCATGAGCTGGTTTCTCTCCTGGTGTCTCTCTTCTCCCATTTTAACCTCTTCTTACTCTCATGTCTGACCTCTCCCCTACCTCCGGAACATTAAGAGTTCTGGGTTGTGATGACTTCATACTAGTGTTAGCATGTCATTAAGACACACCCCTGCTGTGGATTAAATGGGGCTGTGACTACAGTTCTATTAATTTTGTTTCTAAACTCCACTAGCTTAGCTTTCAAGGATGAATAATGTGACTGTATGGATGGAGTGCTTGGAAGTAATTTATTTCACATTTTAAATTGTATAAATTCAATGTCAGACATGATTCATCAGACTACAGTAAGGTTAGATTAGAGCTCATGGTGTTTTTGAACTGTCACTCGCAAAAAAAGGAGAGGGAGCACGCTTATTCTTCCAACTCCTTCTGCTGCATGTCTTGAAATATAGTAGTTGTATGTTTATGATTGAGGTATGTAATACATAGACTATCCATGTTATTCACGATTGTATTGATTTTTAAAGTTTCTTCCTTTACCTTCTACTGTTGCCCTTTAGGGAGACATGGAAAACCTTTTATCTATTTACTTCAGGGGAATTACACAAGAGATACTGTAAATTATAATGTATTCAGCATTAATTATAAATATGTAGCATATGTTTTATATATATACATATATATATTGTATTTATGTGCTTTAGGTAATTATGCATTTGAGTTCCCTGCCAATTTTATGGCCAAAATATTTTACTTGGCTGATTACTAAGTATATTTTAAGCTTACTTTTTGAAACATGAAGTGAATATACTATAAATCCAATTAGCATGATTAATTTGCCTACAGAGACTGCCTGCTTTTATTTCTTTCCCCTGTTTTAATGATGAAAAACTGTTGCAAGGGTCCAAAATAACTTAATTTGTTTTTAATGCTTTCTAAGCCCAATTTTATAGTTATTTTCCTTTATAAGCAAAACATAATGTTTGAAACATATTTAGTATATAGCAGAAAAGGACAGTTAAACGTCACAGTTTCCTGTAAGCCTGTAATAAAATAACTCATTTGGATCTTAGCACAGTTTCAAACCTTATTTTTCCTACTTATCTTTGTCATGCATACCACTAAAAGTAATTTTTGGACTAACTGACATTATTTTCTAAAGGTATTTACTGCAGGTTCACATATACTGACAGGTTACTTTCATGAAAGATTAAACCAATTCACATTTCCTTCATCGCTCCATTTAAACATCTCCCAGAATTCACTATCACTCAAGTTAGCATTCATCTGTCTTATGTTGTGTGCCTCTTTGAGGGACTGAAAACGCATCTCTTGTTAGTGTGTCTTCTCAGCACACATCATGTCTTCATGGTTGCAAGCCAATGGGAATTTCCCTTGGTGAATAATTTGCAACCTTTGCTGCCTTTTCCCAAGAGTCTGGTAGGGTGTGTGTGAGCTTCTGCGTGGCCTCCTGTGTTCCTCTCCAGTAGAAATGTGTAAAAAATCTTTCATCAATGTGTTTCCATGATGTTAAGCCACACAGATTCATGAAAAATCTGGTGCAATTTTGTTGGAATTGCAGGGGGGGCATTTATAAAACTTAGGAAACTTGGTTTCTTGGAAATAGGTAGGTTAATGAGTAATTAACTTAGCCTTTAATATGTTTCATGTCTTCATTTATTTGAAATATCTTTAGCTGTTTCAGTAAAGTTTCAAATTTTTCATGATAAAGCCCAGTATATGTACTTACTAACATACACACATAAGTAGATATACATAAGTATATACATATACATTTTTGCTTTTTCCCTCTAATTGATGATACATTTTTTTCTCACATAATATATCAAGATTTATAGTTTCCCCTCCCTCTCTTCCTCCAGTTCCTCTCTACATCTCCCCTCCCATCTGGATCCACCCCCCATTGTGTCTTTCATTAGAAAACACAGGCTACTGAAGGATAACAATAAAATAAAATAGAATAAAACAAAATAGATAACAAAACAAGACCAACATCAGTTTCAGACAAAACAAACATGAGAAGACACAGAAACAGAGACCCACTTGCTCACACATCTCAGAAAACCCATGAAAACACAAAGCTGGAAGCCACAAGTATTCCAAGGGCCCTGTGTAGACACATACACGCCCTGTACATGCTTCCTCGGTCTCCATGACTTCACAGCAGCTGTGATCATGCTGATTGAGAGGACCTTGTATTCTTGGGCTCCTCCATCCCTTTTTACTCTTAAATCATTTTTCTCCCCTCTTCTTCAGGGTCCTCTGAGCCCTAGGAGGAGGGATTTGATGGACACATCCCATTTAGGTCTGAGTGTTCAAAGATCTCTCACTCTCTGCAGAATGTCTGGCTGTGAGTCTCTCTATTTGTTCCCATCTGATGCAGGAGGACACTTTTTGGCTATGGTTGAGCAGGGCACTGATCTGTGAATACAGTAGAATGCCATCAGGAGTCATTTTATTGCTGCATTCATTCAGGAGAATAGTAGTTATTTGGTTGTACCCTAGGGTGCTGGACTATCGAGTCTCAGGTTTGCGGTGACCCAGGCAGTGTCATGTACGAGTTCCATCTCATGGAGTGAGCCTTAAGTCAAATCATATATTGGTTGGTTACTCCTATAAGCTTATTGCCACCATCCTGCTAGCATGTCTCACAGGCAAGACGCCATTGTAGATCACATGGTCTGTGGCTGGCTTGGCATTTAAGGTTTTTTCTTTTGGCAGCCTGCAGTGTACTTTCCTGTACCAAAGACACTAGAACATAGGGATCGAGGGTTCTATGTAAGCACCAGCTTGACTTCTCCATGTTCAGCGAGATGTGGGGGTGTTGTCTACAGGAATGGGGTCTTGTTGCCAGTTTCTGGAGAGCAACCCGTAGTGTTGGCAACAGCCTGGGTTATTTTAGGGTCCCCATAGTTCCCTCTTTGACCAACAACTCAATTGGATGTAACCCAATCCCAGTGCTGGAAGCTTTGTTTGATGACAATTGGGGCTCTATCTCTCCCACTATTGGTGATTTTATTGATATTTACTTAATACTCAAATGACCCTTAATTTTAGCTGTCTCTTCCCATGTCTCTTCCCTTACCCCCAACATCATAACTATCTATTCTATTTCCCTTACCTAATGAGATCTAATAGTCCCCGCTAATCTCTTACTCTATACCTAAACTCTGTGGTTATATGAATTGTAGCATTGGTATCATTGACTTAACAGCTAATATCCAAATATAAGCAAATGCTTTGTCTTTCTGTATCTGGGTTTCCTCCCTCGGGATATTTATTTTTTCTAGTTCAATTCATTTACCTGTAAGTTTCGTTCACTGTGTAAATATGCCACATTTTCTTTATCAGCTCTTCTGTTGAAGGACATCTAGGTCATTTCCAATTTCTAGCTATTACAAATAGAGCAGAAGTGAACATGTTTGATGAAAATGTTTGTGGTAGGATAAAGCATCCTTTGGATATATGCCCAAGAGTGGTAGAGCTAGATTCTCATCTTCCTGAGGAACTACCACACCGATGTCCACGGCATCTGCAAGTTTGCACTTGCACCAGCAATGAATGAGTGAACCTTGCATTTATTCTGAATCCTTGCCAGCATGAGTTGTTGTCTTACTGGCCTTGGTCATTCTGACAGCTGTAAAGTGAAATATCAAAGTAGTTTTAATTTGCATTTCCCTAAGGGTGTTTCTCAGCCATTTGATTTTCCTATTCTGAGAATTTTGTTTAGATCTGTATCCCATTTTTAAATGGACTATTTGTTTTCTGGATACTCAGGGTTTTTTTTTAGTTCTTTATATATTTTTAATATTAGCCCTCTATCAGATGCATAGTTGGTAAAAAATAAATATTTTCCCAGATTGTAGACTTTCACTTAGTCCAAAGGATGGTGTCCTTTGCTGCTGTGCAGAAGCTTCTCAGTTTCGCGATAGCTCAGTAATGACTTGTTGATCTCAGTGTCTGTGTAAACAGCGTTCTGTTTGGAAAGCCTTTCCCTGTGGGTTCAAGGCTGCTTCTACTTTCCCCTGTGTCAGGTTCAGAGAGTGAGACCTTACATTGAGGCGTTTGATCCACTTGGGTTTAAGTTTTGTGCAGGGCGGTAATCATGGATTAATCTGCATCCTTCCCCATGCAGCCACCAAGCTTGATCAGCGCCATTTGCTAAACGCGTTACTTTTCTTCGAGTGTGTACTTCTGGTTTCTTTATTAAACGTCAGGTGTGCAGAGGTGTGTGGATTTATGTCTGTGTTTCCCCTCTTTTGATTTTCTCAAAGGATTATTTATTCCTTGTTCTCTCTTGGGAATATTTAGCCTCTTTGGGGTGGAGATTTCTTTCCAGTGCCTTCTGGATTCTTAGGTAGATAATTGCTTAAATTTGGTTTTGTCGTGGAATGTCATGTTTTCTCCAACTATCGTGACTGACAGTATTTCTGGGTTGAGTAATCTGGGCCAGCACCTGTAGAAGATCTATCCTTTGTGGCTTTCAGAGTCTCCACTGAGAAGTTTGATGTTACTCTAATGGATCTGCTTTCATATGTTACTTAGCTCTTTCCCTTTTAATATTCTTTGTTCTGTATGTTTAGTGTTTTGATGATTATGCTTCAAGGGGACTTTATTTTCTGGTCCAGTCTACTTTGTGTTCTGTGTGCTTCTTGTTTTTAAATAGACATCTCCTTCATTAGGTTAAGGGGATTTTCTTCTGTGATGATTTTGAAAGTATTCTTCTGTGCTTTGACCTAGGTTTCCTCTCCTTCCTCCATTCCTATTATTCTTACATTTGGTCTTTTCACAGTATCTCCAGATTTCCTGGATGTTTTGTAGCAGGATTTTTTTTAGATTTAACATTTTCTTTGGCCAATGTATCCATCAATGCCTGAGATTCCCTCTTCCATCCCTTGCATTCTGTTGCTGAGGCTTGCCTCTGAGGCCCCTGTCTGAGTTCCTAAATTTTTCATTTCCAGATTTCTCTCAGTTTGGGTTTTCTTTATTGATTCTATTTCCATTTTTATGCCTTGAACTGTTTTATTATTTCCTTCTACTGTCGTTTATGTTCTCGTTTCTTTAAGGGTTTTATTCGTTTCCTCTTTAAGGACCTCTGTGGTATTCACAAAAGCTATTTTGAGGTGTTTCTCTTGTGCTTCAGTATGTTGTTGTAATCAGGCCCACTGTGTTGGTTTGCTGGACTCTAGTGGAGACTATTATCATGGCTGTTATTGTGTTTTTGCACTAGTGTCTACACACCTGA